CAGTGATGAGAGAGATCATACAAAACATTGCTTGAAATAAAAGGCTTCAGAATCCAAGAAAGGAAGCAAGGACCTCTAATAAAGTTTTCTTTCTGTGACATTATCATCAGTGTCTTTATGCTGTTCCCACTAACAATTAACATTTGATAATAAATCCAGATTTTGATGCAGAAAGTGAACACCACCTATCCTAGATCAAAAAAGGTGTCTTTTTGAATATTTTTTTTTTCTTTTTTTTTTAAGTCAATATCCTGACCCATGTGGCTCACTCACCTGAATAAGATGCTAGTGTAGGCAGGCTGTACAAAAATTAAGATAGCACAAAGAAAGGTACAAAATGTATTTTCTCCCCTCTTGGATGGCCTTCAGGAAAGACAGAAGGCTAAAAGAAATTGTGTTTTACGTCCAACAGTGTATTGTTTTTCTGCGTGAGCAGTAGGCAGAGCAAAAGCCCTGTGCATGTGCTCTGAAGCTGCCCAGACAGAGTAACCAGAAAGAACATAAGCCAACAGCACAATGCTGTGCCTGAGGTGGCCCTCCAGATCAAAGAGAGCAAGACTGGCATTTCTGTTACCATGTCTATATTGCTGCTTCAGAACAAAAACCAGCCACAGCTGTCTATCTCTTTTCTTTCAAGAAGCTGCAAAGGTATTACAGTTGAGTTTTGGACAGACTCAGAAATTTTCATGTATTATTCAGATTTGAACGTTTAAGAGGACAGTACACATTTGTCAAACTATGCTACTCCCAATATGTTTCATTAAATACTCAATATAAATTCTGTGATACACTAGCACATCACTTACCCCTTGAGCTGCCTGACCTGGTTGAAAGACTGGATATTTTCCCCTTGTTTTCCTTTTTTATTCCATTTCCAAATGCAGTAACATTGGAATTACAAATCAAGAATATTTTGTGACTTGTGGCAGTGCATCTTTCATCATTCACTGAGGTCTTATCCTAAAATAAAGAGGCTTCAATATTTTATTAACGATATTATTTTGGAAAAGATGTTTGTAATCTAATTCTAAAATAGTAATGTCTCTTAGTAATTGCAGGGCTTTGTTGGTTTGGAGAGGAGATGGAGGGCTGCCCCAAGGACAGAAAAGCTTCAAATAGCTACCCATTTTTACATGTGGCTTTTTTTCTGTCTCCTTTGTAAACTCCTCCAGTGTTCTAAGGATCCCATGATCAGACCATAGCATAGATTGTAAATTGAGGAATTATGAAAATAGCATTAAAATCTTTCCTTTGTTTTACTTTAAATATTTCACTTCCCACAGTAGCACAGATCTGGAGACTGTGCTCAGAAATATCCCTCAGAAAGGCCTGCAAAGCTCTCCAGAGCAAGTCAGGTATCAATGTTTTGTTTCTTAAATGATTAATTTGATGCTCTGTCTTCTAATTAACAAAGATCTGCCAGCAAACCCACAGCTAATTCAGCCACACACATCTTAACAGTCATGTGCAATTACTTCAGAGTTAGTTCTTTTACTTGAATCACTTCTCTGTGTTTCATTCTTTGATCAGAACTTGATACCTGATGCCTTTCAGATTAATTCAAACTAATTTTTCATTATTGTTACTTTTAACAATGAAGATAAGGTAGAGCTGGTTCAACACCTCCTGGCAGTGGAAACAACATTTCACCATTTGGAATATAAGAAAGGGCAAGGGCATGGCAGGCAGGAGAAGGCAGGAGGGGTACAACTGGCAGGAAAGCCCTGTATTGCCAGGCTCGCTGCTCCTACTGCTTGGGGAAACAAAAAGGCCAAGGGCCAGGCACATGCTGGGATCCACCAGTCCTACCTGCACCCACCAGCACCAGCTGCAGCAGTTCTCCTCAGGCTTCAGCAGAGAGCAAGGGGTCTGCAAGGCCCTGGTCCTTCCTGCCCTGCTGAGCAGTTCCCAGGTCACTGCCTTCTCTGAGTAAAGCCTAGACCCTCTTCTGAACTAAAATGTGTTATAACACGTCCTAGAAAAATACTGTGTTACATTAGAAACATAACAAGAATTAATATACTTGCCTTGCTTTGGTCTTGGCAGCATGTTGACTGCTTTTGTTTAAGGCATAATTTATGCTTCTAGTGAAATTGCTCCAGTGAAAGTACTTTTCTTTATGCTGCTGATGTGCTACAGTCATTAGCTATAGCTAATGCAATTCCTAAACTGAATAAACATGATTAGTTAATATTAACATTTTAAAAGTAATCCTGACCATGCTTTTGGGAAGGTGGGGATGGTATTAGAATTGGTCAGAAAAACAAAATAAATAAAACAAAAATGGCAAAAAATAATGGGATTTATAGCATTTTCAGAATTGTTTAGTTTAACTTCCAGATCACCACAGTTGCTGTCTACATGAAACACATATGTGTGTACACATGTGTGTGCAAGAGAAAGACATACAAGGATGAAACTAAGGAAAAGAAAGATCAACAATTCAAGAATTTTCAGCTACTTTAGTAGTTTGCAGAGAACATTAAAATCTACCTGTTTTTACTTTAATGTGTTTCTGTGGGCAAACTTTTAAAAAGCATGCAAGAATAATAAAGGAGAAGCTTTTGATCCATCCCCCCTTCAAGCGCATTTTTAAAACTTTCTAATGAGAAATAAATGGTGTGATTTAAAAATCATAATCTGTAACATTGTATCTAGAACTTTTTAGACAGCAATGATTAGAGGCATTTGATAGCAGCCTGCATCAGTGTGTCAGGCAGAACAGCCAGCATATAGCAAAACACCACTTCAGCCTCCCATCTCCAGCAATCTGTAACTACAGATCAGAATCTGGGCTGATGGCCTCTAACCGTAACAGGATATAGTCGTCAAAATAAGTTTAAAAATAGGAAAGCCATTGGAAAATAAATTTATTTTACTGAATACTTAGGAAAATTTAGATAATATTTTCCAGGCCAAACACAAAGTGAAATACCTCATCTGCTCTTTAAGAAGTGGTGTTCAATTAACTATTGAATTCCGCTCAGTTATTCAAGGCAAGCAATGGTCAGTATTGATGGGACAGATATTTCACCATTTTCATTGCCTGAACTGTAGGAAGCATCCCAGCAATGAGTAGTCTAGAACAAGCAGATTCAGCAGCTGTACCATCAGATGAAGTATTTTGATTTTTGCATACTGATATGCCTAAATATATACACTCTGAAAAATAAAGTCAGCTTTAAAGATACACAGCCTCAGTTATAAGAGATGTAACTCAAATATTGACTTTTAAAATACAGTTCATTTTATCAGCCTGTTATATTTTTGGGTGTTGTTAGCCTCATCGCATTTATTTGGTGGTGATTTACTGTTCTTTGTACATAATATGAATGCAGTTTTTTGTAATGTATATATATAGCATTAAAATTCAGACATATGGCTGTCATCGATAATATGTGTTGTTTGCTGTACCTTAATATTAAAATTTTGACATTACAATTCAGAGACTGGACAACAATTTTAAATCCGTAGCTCTTAGTAAAAGCTTTTGATTGCTACAGGAATCACTGAAAAAAAACAAAAACAAAAACAAAAAACTGTTCTCCATCAATTGCATCTATGAGTTTCTAACACACAGCATTATTATTTGGCCTGCTTGGATGCAGAACATTAGAAAGCAGAGTCCTCCTAGAGTGAGAAAATTATTTTTCTGAAAGCAAGCCAGGACAGATGAGATTACCAGTGAGGTTGCTGTTGAGCAAAATTGTACAGGTTTATGTAGAATTGCATCACTTAAGAACTTGCACTGTTTCAATTTTAGTTCTCATATTTTAGGTTACTTCTAAAAATAAGTAAATAAACATTTAGAAAACTCTACTTTTTTTGTAGCAGTAAATAGCAATGTTTAAAGTAAAATTTACAATATTTTCCCTATTCTGAAATACTTAGCCTATTCCAGGCTAATGTATGTATAAAACAGCATATAATGCTGAGTCTGCTTCTAAACCAAATAAATTTTCCCTAATTCTCTGAGCAAAAATTTTTACTGTTATGTTCTACCTAGATAGTAGGTGCAAGATCTTTACCAAAATTTCCTGTCCTGTGGAAGACAGCACTGTAATCTAGCACGTATTCCACTAGTGATGTCATCTGGAATAAAACACAGATTTACACATCTAAGTAGTATGCTCCTCATATCTCTACAGATTTATCCAGTGAAATACTGAAATTGATATTAAGTAATACAAAGTAAAGCTGTCAGTTTTTCAAACATGATAGTATTATTTTCTCTTAATTCTTTTATCAAATCTGACTTCTGAAGTTATTCTATCAGGCTACAATATCTAACTAAGATAGTTTTAAGATGCCAGTTACCCTTGTACCAAAGTAGCAAATCTAATTAAGAAGAATTATTTGAACTGTAATGGAAATAACAACATTATCTTTTATTTCCATATGTATATACCAGATAATCCCCATCAGATAGCACGCTGGATTTCTTGCCTGTGCTTGCCTTATCTTTTTTGCATAATTTTTTTCAGTTCATTAATATATGCAGTTCTTGATTACAAAGCCCTGCCTTCTCATACAGATCTTTTTACTTCAGCAAAACAACATTGCACTTTTAACCACTGTTCATACTTTCCAAAAGCTCTAGGTACATTGCCCCTTTCAAATAATAATGCACCCACCTACAGTTCCAGTTGAGTAGTAACCATAAAAATGCAGACATTGGCACAAGGCAGGTGTTAATATTCATATTATTTTATTATTAATCATTATTTATACTAATTCATTAATTACTATTATCATAATTATTGGTCTGAAGTGAATGATATGGTTCTCCAAGACTACAGAGGGGGAAAAAAAAAAGAAAATAACAAAAAAAATCAAGTTTGAAGTGTTTAAAAAAAAAACCAAAACCACAACCCTGTTTACATGTCTCGGGAAGAGGGGGGAGGTAGTCTTTTAATTCTAGTTTCAGTGCAGAGTTTCTCCTGTAGTTGAACTTATATTTATTCTGCCTTTCTTTCCCTCCCTCCCCTGCTGTCTTGCAGCAAATGTATGTGACAATGAACTCCTGCATTGCCAGAACGGAGGAACATGCATCAACAATGTGCGATGCCAGTGCCCTCCGGCTTACACTGGCATTTTATGCGAGAAGTTGAAGTGTGAAAGGGATCCAGGAGGCTGCGGCCAAAACTCGGGCCAGGGGGCAATATCACACCGGCCTCTGTTGCTGCTGACTGCTCTACTAGGAGCAGCTGGACTTTGCATATGTTAGACTCCATACGGTTGATGGCATCACATTCAGACTGCTTCAAATGATTGTGCCACGTGAAAACAAAACAAAATCCAAGCGTTTGCTACTGAAATTTAAAAAGGACAAAAGAGAGGAAAGAATAACCACATGCAAACTTAAGAAGGCCTAACTGAACTAAGCCATATTAATCAGTTATGGACAGCGCTCTGAGTCAAGACTGTTCACCTCTGGCTCGAGACAAGTTGGCAGCTGCCTATTCTGTCAAATCAGTGCTAGCTGCAAAGCTTACACAGGACTGAAACAGCTTTGACAGCCCCCAGAATGGGAAGAGAATTGAAGAGACATTTGCTACTCCTATATGGTGCGCTACTGTACCTCCGCCTGGTGTGTGGACCGACCAAATAGAGGCAATTCTTTGCTGTCAGTGCATTGTGGGTATAAGGAAATCTGTAAAAGCTGCCATATTGGCCTGCTTCAGTCCCCAAATCCTTTCTAACCTGTGCTTTAGTGAACGTTGCTCTGTAACCCTTGTTGGTTGAAAGATTTCTTTGTCTGATGTTAGTGATGCACATGTGTAACAGCCCCCTCAATACAACTCAAATCAGTCATATCCTTGTATACCTTAGCAGCACTGCATCAGTAAGATGCTGTGTTCACCTACTGTACAAGAGTGGCTATAGGACAAAAAGTGTATTTATCCTTTTGTATTCAAATGAAGTTATTTTTCTTGAAATAATGTACAATGTAGATTTTTTGTATTATTGCCTATTTGTGTTACCAGACAATTTGTTAATGTATTTAATTCTAACCAGATAAGAGAAAAATATTACTTTTTATTTAGTCCTTTCCTTTTTCTTTTCATTTAATTGTGCAGAGATTTCTCTGTATGGGCAACGTGCTGGCATCAAAGAATATCAGTTTACATATATAACAAGTGTAATAAGATTCCACCAAAGGACATTCTAAATGTTTTCTTGTTGCTTTAACACTGGAAGATTTCAAAGAATAAAAATTCCTGCATAAACAGTTCCAGGATGATGTATTGCTATTTCTTAAAGCTTTTTACAAAACAAAACAAAACAAAAATTATCATTTTACCACCTAGTACGTGGAAGAAAAACAGATTCAACAGTGGAAATTACATCGTAACAATCTAACTTGGCTTTATTTTTACTACTGTCATTATTTTTGCAAACAATTTTAAATGGGAAGAGCATCATTTGTTTGAGGAAGATTTTATGAAATCTTAAGCTTGGAAAAGGTATGCAAAGTTGAATAGTTCTCATCTTTGTTCTCTCAATTAATCACAGAAATTATTCCAAGACTAATTTACAAGGTATTACAGAAGCTAGTCTTTACTTCATACCATTTTTGTGGATTCTGGCAGTAATAAAGTAGATATAGCCACAGCTTATATTGTTTTTCCAAAAGCTTCATTAAAATGATATGTTTATATATGTACTAGTCTGCCTAAGAAACTGCAAAAACAGCAGCAATCACCAAAAAAGGCCAAGATTTAACTTTTAATAAAGTCAAAATTTAATATTTAGAAGGAATGTCAAAATATACAGCAGCAAGTAAATAAAAAGTGCTGCTCTAGCAAATAAAGTTTGTTTCAAGTATTGCCCAGGGTGTAATAAATTCTTATTTCTGCCTTTTATTAGGCCAATTACTGAGTGTGACAGAAAAGAATAGCAAGAATAGAGAGGCAAGCCAAAACCACAGCAGTGTTTCAAAGTCCTGGGAAAAAAAAAATAAAATTATATATATATATCTCAAAAGGAAGCAAGACTGTGTTAATTCATTTCCTGGCAATTTTCATCATAATGTCTGTAAATATTTTACCAACATAATAGCCTAGTATGGAAAAAAATTAATCATCAAAAGAAAAATTCCTAAGAGAAATAAATTCTACCAGGCTGCCTCTTCCAAATGGTGAACAGAGTAGAATTTAGGGCACTGCCTTCTCAGAGAAGCTCCTTCCGCTGAGGAAGCAAGTTTTGCAGGCCAGTAGCCATAAATGGGTAGGCAAATCAGGTCTTCATTTCTACACGAATCCTATGAAGATGATGATGAAGACAACAAGCTGGTGCTTGTTCAGGCTGTCACCTCAGCCCTTCATGTGGAATGTTTGATATTCACACTGCCACTTTCTTTTGGTGGGCTAAATAAGGCAAAGGTAAATTAAGAGCTTAGCTGATTACCAGCCATGGCCTACATGAGACTGCAGGTATATATTAGGAGGATGTTCATGACAATAAACAGAAAATTATATTGCAGACTCAATAAGGAATATAAATGCTAATCCAGGTGACATGCGAAGCTAGAGATTACGTATAATTAAGTGGATTTCTGATATTAAAATGTGGAATTTAAGTTTTCTTAAAGCTTATTAGCCTAGACCAAATTCAGCTTGTGTAATTATTGGAAAAGATGCACTCTAATTGTCATTATAAACTCAAGGCTTTATGAAAGTGCTAAGAAAGCATGTTATGCACGTTTGGTTAGAAAGGATTGTGCCAGCAGTGCTGAAGTATAATGAATATCAGATCGCAATCAATTCAGCTGCATTTCAATTTCATATACTTATGATCTTCTAAACCAGTGCAGAGCATATGGCTTTCCATGTATCTAGCTACCATTTCATGCATTTTATCCTCCCTCATTTATTAATAAAATTCCAATTCTATATAGGAGTACATCCAGTGAAAAGTTTTCTTATCAGTCAACCTTTTCTTCAGTTTCATTATTTTTTTCCACTGAACTCCACAAAAAGAACTCCACTAATTGAAAATTTTGAATATAAGTTTCTCCTACTGTGTTCCAAGTATATTTGTAAAATTCTGTGTGCATATCTGAGAAAGGAGGAGATTTACATCACTCAGTATAGCTTTACCTGCTTTTTTATTTAATTCAATAGAAAATTAAGGCAGAACCTATTACCTATTTCAGAAGCTGTAAAGAACAACATAGTCCTTTTCCTGAAGATATGGTAGGAACTTTCCATGGTAACCTGTAGTGGCAGTATCTGCTTCATTCTTCACCTGAAAATATCTACCCTTTCCAACATATTCTAGGTTTCTTGGAGTGGGTATCCTGTCCCTGTGAATGCCTGTAAAATAGCAAAGATATCCATGATATTGAAAAAGTAACAAGAGCAATACAATCACTAACCTAGGATTTTGGTTCTATAACAAAATGCAGCAAAAGGAACATACTACAGAATTATTATTATTTCCTATATGATATTTCTTTCCTAAAAGGTTTAACATCCAAGAACTGACTAGGTTTCACATTGCTTAGTTGTCCAGATTATAGTTCAGAGTACAATAATCTTAAACCTAGCATTCATAATTAAATTTATGCAGTTATATTATTTACAGTAGTTTTGATAAATCAGTCAGTTCTAGTCAGCCTGCAATTCCTGTGTTTCTAACTAGAGAATAATTGGTTCTGATCCAGGATCCACATGTGCATAACATCTGAAAATGGGGCACCTTATGACAAGTTGCTACTCCCTGGCCAGAGAGCTGCAGTAATTTCCACTTCAAGCTAGTCATCTTTCTCAAAGGGACATTAAGAGAGAGGCTTAGTGCTGCATAACTGTTTCAAAAACAAACTATCCAAAGGAAAAAAAAAGTCTAGTCAGACACAAATTGACCCCAATTGCCTTCAAATGATAACTGATCTAATACTTTATCATGACTGAGCCACAGATAAGAAGTTATTTCATGTAGTGAACAGAACAAAAAAAGAACATGCAAAAGACTCCTCAAATTTAGAAAGAGCTCTTCTGCTTGCATATAGTTTTGTACATCTTTTTCATAACTCCAAGGTGCCAGTGGGATTTGTTGTAGACTCACTGGGATTCTAGGTTTATTAAACCATTGAATTAACTAGATTCATCCATGCATGTGGTTTATTCACCTGTGAGAAATTTGAGTAATATTTTTCATAGAATATGCAAGACCAGATTTTCAGCCAACCTCCAACCCAGCTGTCATGTTTGTCCTTGCAAATGGAAAGTTACAGGTGTAAATATTAAGACATAGTCAATCAACTCATACCAAAGAAAAACTGAAAATTTAATTATTTATGTATGCAAACATTTATACACCAAAACACAGATCTGGCATTATAGATCAGAAATTTTATATTAATCGACTTAATACCTTTCCCATTGTCATACAGTACCACAAGGAAGTGGTACTGTATGTGCATATGTATATGCATACATATAAGTGTATGCAAAACAAGAACAGCAGCATTTTGCACCATATGGTGCATTTCATTTAATGAAAGTTCATCACCAGTACAGTATGTTCACCAAGACACCATTTTTGCCACAATATGCAATAGATAAAATTCCAGAACAAAGCATATGTTTCCTTTCATTGTCTTTCTGGCCATCATTACCTACACAGACTCAAACATATACATGATGAAATACTGCTCAAGAAATTTTACAGCCTCAAAGAACACAGAGAAGACTAACATTATGCAACCTGCAGAACTAAACAGATTGCAAAGGCTTTGGGGTTGAATTCCTGCACACATTCCTAGCTAATACTCATTTCGGAGAAGGACCAGGATAAAAACCACATCATTGAAGTGCACTAAATGAGAGTTTCACAACAGTCAGTAGAACCACAGTGACAGCCTAGTTACAGAAAGCACAACAGGGCAGTGTTAGTCCTGCATCTGTCAGCAGGCGCAACCACATCTCACCCTGGGACAGACTTAAGCATCATTCCCCCATCAAAACTTCTCTGTGTGTGTGTACTGGTGTGCACATTCTAGTTACATTTACTAAGATGCCTGTGCTACTTACGTGGTGCTGCTCAACAGAGTTGCTGTACACATGTTCAAGTTTACTGTTGTCACTGGAAATACAATTTTTGTACTAGAAGTGAATAACTGTTGAGAAATTGAAGTAATAAGTGTATTCTGGGAAAAGAAAATGAGGAGTGGGTTTTGGGGCTATTGCTTGTTTGCTTTGAGAAAATGAGACTGGTTTTGGA